AGAAGGAGGACTGGGAAATCCTAACAGGAAGCCAAAAAAAAGAAAAAAAAAAAAAAAAAAAAAAAGAAAAAGAAAAAGAAAAAGAAAAAGAAAAAGAAAAAGAAAAAGAAAAAGAAAAAGAAAAGAAAAAGATAAAAAGAAAAAGAAAAGAGAGAGAAAAAAAAATAAAAATATTAATAATAATAAAAATTAAAATTAAAAAAATAAATAAAAAGAGAAAAAAAATAAAAATAAGAAAAATAAAAATAAAAATATAAAAATATAAAAATATAAAAATAAAAAATAAAAGAAAAAGAAAAAGAAAAAGAAAAAGAAAAAAGAAAAAAGAAAAAGAAAAAATAAAAAGAAAGCAAAATAGTTATAAAATGACAGTCTGATAGAACTTAGGGTGGAGGGCAAGATTTTAAACAAAAGGAAATATTGGAGACCCTCTGGAGAAGAGACTACCTCATCTCCTATCTCCTTTTGTAAAATTATAGAAATGCAGAATGGTGTGGGTTGGAAGGGATCTTAAAGATCATCTCATTTCAGCTCCCTCTATTGAAAGCAACCACACCAAAGGACAATTGTGGTCTAATGTTGAATCCCAGGCAGCCTGATTTTCTCCTTTCCTGTTTTGTTGCCAGGATCTCACTCTGAATCATCAGGCTCCTGGTCCCAGGCTGTCCTGGAGTTTCTCTGCCTCATTTCTTCCCTATTTTTTCCCCATTGATAAAGACATTGGCAGTGACTCTTCTTTACCTGTACTTTGCCAGCTTAAGACAGAGCTGTTAAACAATAACCAGTTTTCCAGTGACAGATTCCATAAACTATAATCCACCTGAAACAAGCTCTGCTGACTATCTGTCTTCTCCTCAAAGCACGTTTGCCCACAGGGGCTTTGCAAATGCCACGAGAGGCTGAAGAAAAGCATCACAGCTCCTCTCCTTTTCCTTTTCCACCACTTTCACAGCGTTTTCAGCTCCTCACCATAATCCAGACATTCTGAGGTGGCTGAGTGAGCTGGAGGGACAGCTGGGGACAAGCAGGATGGGAAGGAGGCAGGAGGAAGGCTGAGCCGTGGAGAGTGTGGGCAAAGAGGACAGGGGTGGCCATGCGTGTCTCTGTCTATCCAAGGGACCTTGGTAAGACTAAAACTGTCTCAGGGTGAGATTAAAAAGTCCTGCCAGTACAGCAGGTGTGCACAGAAGGAGGAGAACTGAGTGAGGATGCTATTTTTAGCTGCACACTTTTATATTCCATTACAGATTGAAATCACAAGGTCAAACCGAATTCAGGCTACACTGGATGCTGTATTATAGGTTTTATCATATAATGGTCAACAAAAGCTCTTTAAAAATCATTGTAGTCCTTCTCTGAATACCTTTATGGGTTGTTTTAGTTTTTATTTTCCTAGAACAATATCTTTCTGCCTGAGGGGGCCACAGGGCATTGGAATGTGTGACTGCAGTGAAGTTTGGTTTATTTTTAATGAGCAAATTGGGAGCCAAAGGCTTTGTTTTAAAAGAACTGGTTGATCTCATGAAATGCAAGATGTGATTTTGGTCCAGCAGCTTTAAGGGAGAAGCACAGAGACTGCTAAAACCTCTGCTGGCATCCTGTTCGTGGAGATTTCTGTGTCCTAAGGTCATGGTGCTGGGCTGTCATCTCAATTCCCACTAAAACACACACCAGGAAAAGGTTCTCCCCATGAGAGAAAGGTTCCCAATCCATGTGTAGGTCATGGTGATGCTGGGCTGTG